AACAATTTTGGAAGTTGAATTATTTTACAATAAATATTAAAATTTTCTCATAATTTGATATTCTACAAATTGCACATACTTTACAAGTAATGGTTCGATTTTCTACCAATAAATAGTTAACAGTACTTCATTTTAAGTTAATGTCTTTTGTTAATAAATACATCTGTATTAATAAATACAGATGAAAAACGTTTATCATCTTTAAGGAAACTAGTAATTTATTACAGTGGTGTAAAGCCTAAGAGCTCTTGGGGAGAACAGTCCCGGCCCTAGTACTGAGGGGCCCCGTAGTTTACCCCAACCTTGACATTTAAACCACAAAAAAGGACAGCCAACTTAACTCAAATTTTGAATGGTATTTACATTGCTTATATTGTCTTAATATTCATAAATGTTTTTAGGTTAGGGAGGAGGGGGTCACTTAAATACCATCCCCTCTGCCCACTTTCCTGGCATTTATATGGGCTTATATTCTTCCCCAGGCCCCATGACTTGTTGTTATGTTACTGATTTATTAACTGGAATGAAACAGCCTTAAAAATTTCCAAAAGTTTCTGCTTAAAATACATTAAATGGAAGGACATTAAAATGTAAATTTCAACAAATTTTTATAAGAAAATATATATTATATTTATATATATATTTGGTAAGAAATAATAGTCAGCCATATATGTCTATAAAGTTTCATTGAATACACATTTTATTCTGTCATAATTTTGGACAATGCTCATATACTAAAAAAAAAACCATTTAAGTAGTAGTGTGTAAAATGTGGAGAGTTAATATCATCACATAAAAATTGCATAGTTTAGAGCAATACTTTTTTTTGAGGAGATTGAATTTTGAATTGTTAAAAAGCACATCAGTATTGTCGTGTCTTCTATATGAAGCTGCTATATGAAGTTAATTTAGATAGTTCTTGGAACCAATGAATGATTAATCAAACCCAACAAATAACAATCTTAAAGTAAAGAGGCTGCTTCTAAATTCTCTTTAATCACTGTATCCATGACAACTTGAAAAACAACCTGAATGTTTGATGTGTCCGTTGCCGTGGTGAAATGAGGATAAACAACTTTGGATGGTTTGTGATTTCGTACAAGAAATTCTTGCTGAAGGAACCGAGCAGCATCCTCGACTCTACAATCTGGTCCTGAAAATAAAAAAATTATTAAAGGACTTTTTTAGCCATTAAATGGGGGCAGCATTTTATATCTGTTTACTTTCCCTTTAAAAAAAAAATATTTTTTTTTAATTTTAAGTTAATTTTTCTATCAAGACCTTCATTTCTGGGACTATTGTAATTTTCACAATAACGAAGTTGGATTACTTACAATTTATCAATAAATATCTGAGATATAAAATTCATTATATAATAATATAAATGTATTAGTCAATTTCCAGTAGGAAACATTTGAAACCAATTAAAGGAAGTTAGTAGTTAGACTTCAATTGTGAATTAAAATGCATCATATCAAAAATATAAACCATGAAATTGTTCCTATCTAACTATTTAAAATTTCAAAATGATATAAAGAAGCAGCAACCTGAACAGGGAAACTAGCTATCACTGCATTGTTCGCCTGCAATTTAAGGCACATGAAAACTCAAGTCACTATTTAAAAAATCTTCTTACCTTTATATTCCGGAAAGTAGTATCTTAAATGTCGTCCAGAACGCATAATCTTTTCTTGGAAGAGATCCACTTTATTTAAGAACAACATCATGGACGTATCCACAAAGAATACATTGTTACATATGGACTCAAAGAGCCGAAGGCTTTCTTGTAAACGATTCTGAATTAACAAAAAATACAGATATGTAAAGCAAGATTTATTATATGAAAACAAAAAGTTGTGAGTAGTTGTTTTTTTAATGCTGCAGTCAAATCGCACACAAAAAATGTTTATAGAGGTTATTCATGCTCGTTGCTGATTGGTCTAACAAAAAAAACGTATGGTTTAACGATTCAAATGGCTCTCAGATCCATCCAAAATTGTATGAATTTGATGTGGTTCTATTCTTTACCACTGAACCTATTTTTCATTATTTTTTGTCCAGGCACCAGACCGGATCGGATCAAGGCTATGGAGTAAACGTAGCTTAAATCTATTTCTTGAACCATAATATTTTGTTTAACTTGTTCCTCAGTGGTGCAAAGCAGAAATTATATTATGAAAAAATAAGATAATGCATTCAGTTTTAAAAATTTGAGGCCCTTAAATGTATTTCTTCAGCCATAATATTTTGTTCAGCTTTTGTCTCTCAGTACAATCCATCTTCCTGTCTCTACTTAAAACTAACAGGCGAAGAAGCAACTTTCGGTAGATCTCATTAAATGAGCTTTCTTAACACATCAAACTTTATTTTACTGCACATGATAATGCCCATCACCTCTAGACCTTCGGAAGGCAATTAGATAATACAGGAGTTAAAACCTCTAAATACAATTAATTTGTGTGCGATGGGTTAGTTTCAGGGATGCTGCCTCGAGTTCAGGAGCCTCCCGTGACTTCTGGGAGACTTAGGACCGCTTAATAAATCAGAAATTGCCATCCCAACATTCCAAACAACAAAACTAAGTTAAAATTGATTGTCGTGTTACAACACATTCAACGCATTCCAAGAGTGGCTCTAACACTATCAATTAAAAATTAACGACCTTACCACAGAAGGGTCTTCAATTAATGTCATATCATAAGCACTAAGGGCAGCTACAAACAACAATGCTCTGACATCATCAAAGCACTGGATCCATTTCCGCCTTTCTGACCTCTGACCTCCAACATCATACATCCTATATAAAAGAACATGAGATTCATTTATATATTTATAAAACTAGAAATTGAATGCAAAATATTTATACTAATCAAGAATATACAGGCCTTGGGACACTTGACATTGGTCAGTTTTTAGCATTAATTATAAGCAAGGCCCTACAGTTAAACTACATTATACTAGGAGTGAGCCCTCTATCTTATTTCAAAAATTCAAACTATTGTAATATTTTATAATCATGAAAATAAAAAAAAGTATTTATCCTATTATCAATGATAATTTGTATAAAACACCTGTATAAATGTAAATGACCCACCTGAATGTCATGCCATTAATTTTGAAGTGTGTTTCTAGGATGCCTGTTGTCCGGATCCTGACCCTCAAAATGTCCTCAGTTGACGGTCGGTACTTCTGTGACATCAATCTGTCCATATTATCAAAGTAGCTGAATGGAAATAATTGTATGGTCAGGTATCGAATCTTAATCATGCAATATCAATAGTAGATAAAAATCTGTACTTTATTTAATGTTCTAAAGTTTTTCTTCAAACGCCCCACACATGACTTACAAAAATGCATTTATACAGAATTTAAAAAAAGATTCCCCTTTCGAAATCTGGCTTTATGCATAAAACGTAAGAATAAATATTAACAATTTTTCAAGTACATTAGCCCAACAGACAGTTATCTTAACAACATCATGATTTTTATTATAATCAGAATGTTTAACTACTTGAAGTTGTAAAAACCCTATTATTCAAAGTGTCTATTCATATATAATTATAAATTTCTCAGACATTTTAATTCCTGCTTGAATAAAAAAAAAACACCCATTTATTTCAACCTAAACAGTATGAAAACTTGTAAAGTTTTACTCTTATTAGAGTAGGATATATAGAATATCTAAAACTTTACCGCTGGGGAAATTGGCCTTCAAACTATTAAATGAAGATCAATGAAGCTTTTGTGAGATAAGCTGATCAGTGCATTGGTGTTTAGCAAAACAACTATACAACAGTTAAGGCAAGTTGTGGGATCAATTTCAGAGAATTTTAATCCACTTCAAGAAAACATAAAGACAGGAGGGAATTGTGTGTTGTGAATGTGATCCAAATCT